TTATTAGAATAACTAATTTTGTAAGTAAGACTTACTAAATCGGTTATAAATAATTGATTTAGTAAATTACATACAAAATCAATTATTCTATAATCATTTTGTATAATTTAAAAAATTAATTTTATTTGAACTGAACTTAAATGTGCATTATATTTTTAAAACCAACCCTCACAAATTTTCGTCACAAATTTTAATTTTTTTAGTAGTGGCAAGTCAATGCCATTAGTCGGTTTCCTTTGCCAGCCTCTGTTGAACCAACTTGCCCTTCTAAAGCAATCAAAATTCTTGAATGGAAGGCAGCAATGAGTGATGAATTCAATGCCCTCATGGCTAACAGCACATGGACTCTCATTCCTCCCAAATCCGAATTTAATGTGATTGGTTGCAAGTGGATTTTCAGGATTAAAAGAAACCCAAATGGCTCTATTTCCTGATACAAAGCAAGGCTAGTTGCTAAGGGTTTCAATCAAAAGCCAGGTCTGGACTACTTTGACACATTTAGTCCTGTTATAAAACCTCAAACAGTTCAAATTGTGCTTTGCTTAGCATTATCTCGCGGCTGGTCTCTTTCACATATGGATATAAATAATGCATTTCTCCATGGCTCACTCTCAGAAGACATCTATATGTCTCGACCATATGGATTTATCCACCCACAACATCCTAACTATGTTTGCAAGCTCAAGAAATCTCTTTATGGGCTCAAACAAGCACCACGGGTTTGATACCAATCTCTTAAAGCTTTTCTCCTATCATATGGATTTACCAATGCCAGCTCTAATACCATGTAGAATCAGTACAATTGGATGTTTTCAAATCTATCTCAAATGAGTACCGATACATCAATAAATAGAGTTAATTAATCTCTAACTGAATGAGTTAGGCTAATAACAATTCTGTTAAACTATTAGCAATTCTGTTAGGATAACAATTTTGTTTAAGATAACAAAGAATTTGTTAGTTAGCTAAGAGATAACTCCTATACGGGGAACATAAGAAAACGCGAGGAATAGGTTTTAAATAAAACATGACACTTGTAACGAATATAATAATTTTTTTATAACCAAAATGTGACAAGTGAGGAAAATTTTTAAACAAACCGTGAAACATGTGAAAATAATAAAATCTATGTAGGGGAAATGCTTTCAATATAATGAAGGTGGCATGAGGTAAAATAAGAAGAGACAAAAAAAAAATCACAAGTATTAACTAGGCACTTAAACTTAATTAGAAAATCATAAAAGAGAAGAGATTTTTAAAAAGGAAGAGTGGTCATCTATCCTTCCTCTCCTAATCTCGATAGGTTTTCAACTACCAAAAGAAACTAATCAGTGATAGTACGAAAAATATTAGTTGATCCCAACATAGCTGAAGAAAGTGACAACCATATACAACAGTTAGCTGAAGAGTAATCCACTACGAGACTTGGACATGACCGTTATCCCTCTAGGCAGTTACATTGAAAGGACGACAACTTGCAAGTGTAAACTAAAGAAGTTCCTAAAAAAGGGAACAGTGGGTAGCTTTGTTATAGTTGGGTTATAGACTAGGATAAATAGGGAATTATTACGGTACTCTCAAAGATCGAGGAGTTTCAATATTTTGTAAACTTATAAAAATTAAAAAAAAACTAATTTAATTATAAAATGAATAATCCAAATTATATTTATAAAATAAAAAGTAAGATAAAATTAGAGAGATTAAAATTATAAAATTTTAATAATGTTATAAAACATTAAAAAAGAAAAGAATTAATAAATAATAGAAATAAAAAATTATTAAAATTACAATATAGAAATTCAAAAATTTAAGACAAAAGACAAAAATATACTTAAAAAATTATTAAAATTAAAATATATAAATTTAAAAATTTTAAGTGAAAAGACAAAAATATACTTAAAAAATTATTAAAATTAAACTATTTAAATATATAATAATATTATTATAAATAAAATTAGAATATATAAAATAAAAATAAAATGACTAAATAATTTAAAAACTTAAAGAATAAAATATCATAAATATTATTTAAATAAATTATTAAAAATATAAAATATAAAATAAAATTAGAATTATAACTGTACTGGTACCCTCCCAAATAATATGGGTACCGTAGAATTTCTCTAGTATAAATATGAGAATTACGATATAAAATTGGTCCACGACCAAATAAATGAATTTACCTTATTTTCAAGTCATTTATATATGTTTCCTTTATTAATTAACTTTTTTGTTGCATAGCATTTAAAAGCTTTTGATTTATTGTTTATTTTATGTCTTTTAACATTTACATTTAATCTTTGAAGTTGGTCTACTACTACTAAGAAGCTCTTTGAAATGAACTGGGAACTCAATCAAGAGAATTAAAGAATCTCTTCCTTACGTCATTTGCATAAAGTAGGAATGGTTAATGTGTTAATCAAGAAATTTACTAAAGAAATTCATGTTTTGGGATGCTAGAATATTGATCCTATATAGGGTTCATATCTGTTAATTTACACAATGCCTAACCAAGTTTCACATCAACGAAAAACTTATTACATCATTTACATGGTTGACCTTGAGTTTTTTTTGGTGTCTTAGAGAAGTGAAAAAATATGTCTTTATACTTATTTGAATGCAACTTATGATCCTTGTTTTTAAATCTAAAAGTATAAGATATATCAATAATTAAATACACAATTATAAAGAAATTTGTAATAGGGGCTTACAATTAATTTGTTTTGAATATTTCAACGGAATAAGATAAGTCAATTTAAAAAATAAAAAAATAATTAAAGAAATTAGATACAAATGAAAAAAAGGATAAAAGGAAATGGATTTTTATTTTTGATTTTAATTAATATTTATGAAAATATTACACTTTCCTCATTCCATTTAATATTATTGATTTATTTTTCTGAAATTATGACTAGATTTTTGTTGATTAGTGAAAAAAATAATTATTTTGTATAATACATTTTATATATATAATTTGATTATGCAAATTAAATAATTTTTTTTATCCCTCCAATAATAGAACTTTGTGCTGCGTGCTCAGAATCACTACTAATCATTCATATCAGATGACAACCATATATTAATTTTTTTTTTTATAATAATCATGCTATTAACAAAAATATTCATCAACTTTATAATAACTCATCTTTACCATTTCGTCATATGCAACCAGTGTCAAACGTATTGTTTTCCTATTTTATGTATGATTCCGATTTGGTAAAATTATATATTTGTAAAGATAGATTAGAAGCAAGTCGTACCGACTACCAGAATAGTGCTTTTTTTTTTTTTACACAACTAACATAATAGTTAGAATTATTATTTGCACATAGTTCTAGAGAAACTCTAAAGTCTTATAATAATGACGTAAAGCTATTTTATATTATGGTTCAAATCTATTTGTTAGAAAATTTACCCGGCATGTATGACATTATTTTTTAAAACAAAATAATGACATAATTAAATTCTATAAAATAATCATGTGCATATATAAATAAACAATCAAAACATTCTCTTAATTAACTTATTAAAATATTTAACTATATCATGAGTAATATAATAAAAGGTGAGTTTTTTTTTTCACTAAAACGTGACACTTGTGACGAATGTAATAGTTTTTTTTAAAAAAAAAAAACCAAAATGGGACAAGTAAGTAAAAATTTTAAATAAACCATGAAACAAGTGAAAATATTAAAATCAAGGCATCGGAAATGATTTCAATATAATAAGGGTGGCATGAAGTAAAATAAGAAGAGATAGGAAAAAAAAATCATAGGTATCAACTAGGTATTTAAACTTTAAAGAGAGAGATTTTTAAATTTAAAGGAAGAGTGTTCATCTATCCTTAGACTTCTAAACTCATGGATTTTTAATTGCCTAAAAGTCTAATAGGTAGGAAAATTTGTTATATTAGTTAAGCCATGTGATCACTATTGATCAATAATGTTATTAAATGTATTGTCCTTAATGTAAAATTCCATTTGAACATTATCTAGGAGTTTTATTAGATAAAATTTTATATATATATATATATATATATATATATATATATATATATATATATAGAGAGAGAGAGAGAGAGAGGAGGAATCAAATGACTC